CAGCCCTCTCTGTGTGTTGCAGAGTTACATTTTTTTCCAGAACCCTGCTTAGACATGTTCACTGAAAAAAAAGCAAATCATCAGGGAAGATGGTATAAAGAACTGGCAGCCTCTGTTTTCTCAGCCAAGAACCTGAGCAGAACCAGGAGGCCAGCTGACCAGGTGCCCAGGTCCAATTCCCAGAGGGGGGCTGTCTGCCCAGCGGTGCCCCGTGCTTGGCAAATGGGTGCCTAAGGAGGCTGCCATCGTTATTCTCAGGAACCTATGTAGGGCTCAGGAAATCATGAATTATGACTGCCACAGCAAGAACTGAATGATGACTCAGGACACCTTTTGCTGTTAACTTCCATTTGTGGGCACTTCTCATTTTCAACAAGCAGAAATTCCTCCTCTGGGGACTGCTTCCCATGCTCCCGCTCATCTCAAAGTCTCAGTTGCTCCAAAGTTATGAAAATATGCAGAAAGATGTCAGAACCAGGGAAATATGGTCAGAGTAGGACGTAGTCTGGTGGGGAGGAGGTCATTTCTAAGGGCAAAAGGTGGGCCCACTGGTATTAAAACTTCTCTATTTCCTACATTTTAATTACTTTCTACAGCTAAAGTGTGAAGCAAATCATCATTCTGTGACCTGAGGGGCGGGTGGAGAAGCTTTAAATAATTTAAACTTGAAACTTGTTCCCCTCCAAACAAAAATGGCATTGAAATGTTAGATAAGTTCTTTACCCTTTCTAGGTCTCAAATTTTTCTCCCCATAATGTAGCTTCCATTTCCTCTGGTAAGCAAATCCTGAATTTTAACGGCCTCAGAAGGACCTTGAGCTCTGTGCTTGAAAGGCAGCAAAGCCAAGTGCAATATTAATGTATAATTATTTACAATAAAACCACAAACTCAATTAAAAAGCCAGTTGAAGTGTAAGGAGCAAACCACAAAGATATAGGTAAACATTTAAAGTGGAGACATCACCGTTCAACAAAGAATTGATTCTCTTCTAGAGCAATCATCTCTAAAGCCCATCTCACATTTCTGAAACGCTGTTACAAATAAAACAGAAATCAGGACAAGGGGAGGTGGCAAGAAGCAGAGAAAAGGCCGGTGATCTGGATTTGGCGTCACTCTGGCCCTTCCTTTCATCGTGTTTTTTGTTTGTCTAAATTGCAGCCAGAAAACACATAAGCTTACCCTCTTAACCGTTTTCTAGTGTACGGTATTGTTAACTATATGCTATGCACATTGTTGTATAACAAACAAAGCTCTAGAACGTTCATCCAGCACGACTGAAACCCTATACCCATTGAATAGCTCCTGGTTCCCTGTGTCCCCAGCCTCTGGCAACCACTGTTTGACTTTCTGTTTCAATGAGTTTGATTACTTTAGACACTTCACAGAAGTGGGATCAGGCAATATTTGTCTTTTTTTTGTGATTGGCTTATTTCATTGAACATAGTATCTTTAAGGTATGAACCTTGTTGTAGCATATGCTAGGATTTCCTTCTTTTGAAAAGCTGAATGATATTCTATTGTGTGTGTATGCCACATTTTCTTTATCCATTCATTCTCTCAATGGCATTTAGCTTGCTTCCACATCTTGGTAATTATGAAGAATGCTACAATGAATATGGGTGTGCAAATGTCTCTTTGAGATCCTCTTTTCAGTTCTTTTGGAAAAATTCTCAGAAGTGGGATTGCTGAATCATATGGTAATTCTATTTTTAATTTTTCAGGTAATCTCTATACTGTTTTCCATCATGCTGCACCATTTTACAATCCCACCAACAGTGCTTTGTCTTCAGGACTGCACTGGTAAAGCCATGTTTTTTCTCCTGTTACAAGTGGAGCAAGGGTTCCAATTACTCTACATCCTTATCAACATTTGTTTTTCTGGGTTTTTATGATGGTGGCCATCCTAATGAGGGTGAGGTAATATCTCACTCTGGTTTTGCTTTGCATTTTCCTAATGATTAGTGATGTCGAGCATCTGTGAATATGCTGTTGGTCATTTGTTTATTTTCTTTAGACAAATGTCTGCTGAAGTCCTTTGATCATTTTTTAAGGTTATTTGGTTTTTGTTATTGAGTTGTAGGAGTTCTCTATGTATCCACCATTGAGTATTATGTTAGCTGTGGGCTTTTTATATATGACTTTATTATGTTGAAGTAGTTTTCTTCTATTACTAGTGTGTTGAATGTTTTTTTATCATGAAAGGTGTTAAATTTTGTGAAATGTTTTTTCTGGATTAACTGAGATAATCATGTCATTTTTGTCCTCTGTTCTTTTGATGTGGTGTGTTATATTTATCAATTTTTTATATTGAACTATCTTTGCATCCTACAGATAAATCCCATGTATTCCTTTAAATGTGCTATTGTATGCCATTCTCTAGTATTTTCTTGTGAGTTTTTACATCAATATCCATCAGAGATACCGGCCTGTAGTTTTTTTCTGGTAGTATCCTTGTCTGGCTTTGGTATTAGGATAATGCTGGCCTCATAACATCAGTTTGGAAGTGTTCCCTCTTCTTCAATATTTTGGATAAGTTTGACAAGGATTGGTGTTAATTCTTCTTTGAATGTTTGCTAGAATTCTCCCATGAAGCCATCTTGTTTTGGGCTTTTCTTTGTTGGGAGATTTTTGATTATTGACTCAATCTCCTTATTAATTATAGGTCTGTACAGATTTTCTACTTCTTCATGATCAAGTCTGAGTAGGTTATAAGAATTTAACCTTATATAACCTGTTTCTAAGAATGTATCTGTTGTTTCTAGGTCATCTAATTTGCTGGTATGTAAATGTGAATAATAGCCTTTATAATCCTTTGTGTTTCTATGGCATCAGTTGTACCTCCTCTTTGCTGATTTTAGTTCTTTGTCATTGTGTTTAAAATGAGTTTGTTGAACTAGATGATTGCTAAGGCCTTTCTAGCTCTGAAATTCTTTGACACCTCAAAATAACGTTTTAAAGTGCGTTATAAAATATTTAAGACATACTAATGATATAAAGAAGAATACAGTGAATACCCACCTAGCTTAAGAAATAGAAGTCATCAGTGTAGTGGATAACTTTCCGTGTATCCTTCCCCAGGTGTGCTCTCCATGCCAGAAGAACTCACCGTTCTAAATTTTGTGTTTTTTATTCTAATATATATATTTATGCTTTTTATTATATATATATGTGCATGTGTGAGAGAAATATATATTTTGTCTACTTTTATATTTCATATTAGAAATAAAATATTGTATTTATTAGTCTACAAGTAGATTTTTTTCTAACATTTTGTGAGCTTCATCCTCGTTGATGTACATAGCACTTGTTCATTTCCCCTCACTTTCCCCCGACCCCCGTTGTAACACTTAATTACAGTTTTGGTATGCATTGTTGATGAACACCAGGTTGTTTTCATTGTTTTGTTTTAACAGTCTTTCTCCAAATATCCATATATATATCTCCTTGCGTGCTTGTGTGGGATTTGCTCTAATAGAAAAACTACCTGGAGCATAGCGAATGTGCATTTGCACCTTGACTAAATAATGCCAATTTTTTCTCTAAAGTAATTGAACCAATGTGTACTCCCACCAGCGGGGTATAAGATTTCCCATTATTCAACATCCGTGCCATCACTTGGTAGTATCAGACATGTAATGCCCATTCGCACATTTTGGCATAAAATGGTAACCTATTGCAGTTTTCCCTGTAATTTCCCTGATAACCACTGTGATTGTTCATTTTGTCACATGTTTAGCAGCTATATGTGCTTCCTCCTCTGTGAATGGCTTCTTCATTATTTTTTGCCTGCCTCTGATTTTTACCATGGGGGACTGTATTTATGCTCTATCCCAGGAAAGACATAGATTGCCTGACCAGATCTCATCACTGTGAACTGCATTCTTGAAAAATTTCTAACATAGCTCCCACTTGTGCCACAAGACTGTGTGGGCGAGGATCACCTTTCCTTAGTGCATTCAATGTACCCATGTTTCCTTCATACCAGCCAGTGCAGGTGGCATGAGTGTGCATTCCAGGGCAATGTACTGTTCAAAAATGTGAGTCTCCCATCAGAGAGTTGAAATTCAGAGTTCTCACAGCAGTTGCTGCTAAGCCGATGTTGCTTCTATCCAGATGGCCATGTGTACCACCCGATATGGAGAGGCCTAAGCATGCACTGGAGGGAAGCCATGCCTACTAATCCTCCACATAAAGGGTCATGGAGTTATGGAGTTATTATGCTCTAATACTTAGAATTTCCTGGGTTTTATGGAGAAATGTGCATTCCTGATATTTTTCAAAGTTGCAAAATGCTGATATTTATTTAGAGACGTGCCACAAGTGAAGCCAAAGGAAATATGCCCAAGATTGAATTTGAGATTTCTTTAACTACAACTTGGAGCAGAGTGTTCACCAAAGAAGATCAGCAATGAAGAGGCAAAAAGCCTATTGTGTTAATTCTTGCTTAATGTTTTAAATTAAAAACTAAGGAGTTTGTCCACAAGGGATACAAGAGGTGCCTGTGTCCTTTGATACAAGCTCATACATACGTGTTAAATTGCTAATAGAAGAGGTGCTTGTATGCCAGGATACAAGAAGTGCTGGGCGTAGGATGGACATAAGTTTGAAAATCTCTCTAGTCCTAATTTGTGTGAGTTGCTGCTATTATCACTGTAGATTGTTGTCCCAGCTACAGTCAGATTGTGTTGGTTTACAAAGTGTATTGCTAGGGAAGACTGGCATGTCCACAGTGGATACATTTCCACTGGAGAAGATGAAACTCTCATCAGATCCCAAAGAAAAAATGGGAATTGTGGCTTTGGAATTGAGATACAGTTCACAGGATATCCAAGAGATAGAGGGGAAAGGTATTTTTCTCCAACCTAAGAAATATGTACGTATGTACACACGCAAACACACACACACATGTTCAGAAAGTGTGTCTACCTGCATGCAGCCCTTATTCTGCTGATTTTATTTCTTCCACTTCTGCTTCTAAGTGGCAAAGAAAGCCAAAAGTTAGGGGATTGAAACAAAATGGAAAAAGCAAAAACAAATTTTACCCATAAGACCTGAAATTCATCCAAAAATGAGTATGTTTTTCCCAGCAGATTGTGAAGCAAACCAACACTCCATCAATATATTCGTCAATTAGTGAATTATTATTGAGCACAAAGTGTGTCTATTCTATATTGACAGGCTCCTGTGGCTTCTCCAGTGCCTACTAGAGCAGGTTTCCAGGAATACCCCACATTCAAATGGCTGTTCCAGTCTTCAATTGGCATCTTAGACACAGTCTGTAAAGGAAACATAGTAAAAACTGGAGTAAGCAGAGAATAAATAGAAGACTATGGAAGGATCTGGGCAAAGGGAATCCTTGAAATATATGACCCTTGACTCAATCAATCCATTTGAAAATATTTATTGAAGGCCTAGTATATGCTGTCAATGTCATTGTCCTATGGGCAGTATAATAATATCTTTCCCTCTGTACCTTAGTTTTCTCAACTGTGAACTGGGAATAATAATAGTATCCATCCTGAAGTGTTATTGTGAGTGTTAAGTGAAATAACATATTTAAAGCATGTAGAACAGTGCCTGACATATGATCAATATATAATCAATATTAAGGAAGGAGAAAAATCATAAGCACATAGAAACTAAAAACAATAAAGACATCCAAACAAGAGATGTCACAAGGCAGTGCATTATTAATTGCCAAACAAATGCTTCTTACCCCTGAATGTCAAAACGTAGGGCACAGAGCTAAGAGAGAGCCAAAAGAGTTTGGTTTCTCACACTAGCCAAGCACCTGCCTTTTGCACGTGTCTAAGAAGCTGCAAACGGGTCCCTCCAGAGACACCATGGATCACGATGGGCTCTTGGGAGAGGACCCAGAGCTGCCCCTAAGCACAAGGTGGTGCAATGTAGTGCTAGCGAGTGCTGCTGTGGTGCCAGACTGCCCATGTTTAAAACCTAGTACTGGCGCTTATTATTTGTAGGCTCTGGATAAGTTATTTAACTCCTCTGAGCCTCAGTTTCTTTCTTGGTAAAATTTGAATGATAACGTTGTCTATTTCATGGGTTTGCATGAGGATGAAATGAGATAGTGTAATACATTCATAATAGAGGACCTGACAAACATACATGTTAAATTGCTCATCTACGTGGGATCCTAAACCACCTGCTTTTTCCACATCTTTAAGGAAAGAAATTCCACAATCTGTCCCAGTGTTCAATGGTGTCAAAACTTCCTCCTGTTGGGAAATCCTCCCTTTTTAAAAGTTTATATAATTTGAGAGGGCCCTTAGTGATTTTGATAACCCAACTCACCATACAGGTGAGGAGAAAAGGCTGGAAAATTTAAGTGACTTGCCCAAAGTCATGCAGATGGTTAGCGGCAGAACTAGGACTGGCTCCCGGTTCTCCTGAAACCCAAGTCCATGCTCTTTCTACTAAGGCTGCCGGTATTATTTCCTTTTGCAGGCATCTCGTCTTATGCCCATCATGGTGGAGACTTTTTGTGCCACGTGATTCTGGACTCTCCTGGGCAGAACATTCCAAGCCCTCCATATTCCGGCCTTGATCTACCTGGGGGGCACCCAACACACATGGGCTCTGAACGAACTGCAAAATAAAACAAAAGGTGACAACTGGGCCACATCATCAACTTTATTACAGATCCAGGCTACACTGGAGAACACAACTTAGAATGAGAGCCAAATGGGCCGGTTACCTGGCCCCCTAAATTAGGCAGAGTCACCTGCTGTCCTAGGCATATGGACTGGGGCACTGAGAAGAGGTTTCCATGTGGCAGACGTTCCCAAGCCCAAGAGAAAGAAGGAGGATGGGGCTGAGCAGAACATGCCCATCTACTCTTTCCCAGTTTGCCAGGCAGAATTCACTGCACCTCCTCAAGGGTGGAGAAAATAAAGGGGAGGAAAGTCAGGAGTGTGAGTAGGAAAACTCTTCTTTCTTAGAAACTAAGAGTGGGAAAAGATTTTCTTTTCTAGTTTCACCTCTTTCAGACCACACTCCGCCTTACTCCCTACTCATTGGCTGTACAAATAACTGGTAACCCTTTGGCCTCACTCTATTTCTTTTGTGCTCCAGTTATTCCTCTTGAACAGAGCACGCCTTTGCCCTCTGGATGCCTTAGTGATTTTTTTTTTTGTATACTTTAAGTTCTGGGGTACGGGTGCAGAATGTGGAAGTATACACGTGCCATGGTGGTTTGCTGCACCCATCAACCCGCCATCTACATTAGGTATTTCTCCTAATGCTATCCCTCCCTCAGCTCCCCCACCCCTCAACAAGCCCCAGTGTGTGATGTTCCCCTCCCTGTGTCCTTGTGCTCGCATTGTTCAACTCCCACTTTTGAGTGAGAACATGATGCCTTGCTGTTAAATGCCCTCTGTCTAAGTCTGTTTGGGCTGCTGTTACAACAGAAATTTATTCCTCAAGGTTCTGAAGGCTGGGAAGTCCAAGATCAAGGTGCCTGCAGGGTTTGGTAAGAACCTTCTTTCTCATAGACTATGTGGCACCTTCCCACTGCATCCTTACATGCGGGAAGGGTGAACAGGCCCTGTGGGCCTCTTTTATAACTGCATTAATTCCATTCATGGGGTCTTTACCCCCACAACCTAGTCACACCCCAAATGCCTACCCCTTAATACCATCACGTAGGGATTCAGTTTCAACCTATAAGCTTTGATTGAAAGCTAAACATTTACACCTAGTACTCTTTCATCTTTCAAGACTCAGTTCATGTGTCACCTTCTGTATGAAGCTCTTCCTTCCTCTCCTCATGTCCACCCCCAACACTTTGTGGGGTGAATTGGCAACCTTTTCTTTGTGTTTAGTATGGACTTTCCTCTTTTAGCCCTTTATTCCACTTAATTTTCTGAAGGCAGAGGCACATCTTACTTATCCTATGTTCAAGGCCTTACACAGAACTTTAAATGCAATAGGTCTTCAATAACTTTTTGATGAATAATTATGTTGAATGTTTTTCCTAGGCATACTATAAGATATTAAGCCAAGTCCCTGCCTTATTTTCAGAATAAAGAATCTCATTATTTCATTTATACATTAAGTACCAGTAGGTGCATGGCACTGTTAGTTACTGCAAAGTATATAGCTTGTAGTCTTCTAGACTCTTAAAATCTAGACTCTTTCTAGAATCTTAAAATCTACTTGAAAATGTATGTTCACAAGAAATAATTGAGCATGTGTACATAATTGATACAAATGCTTTTTTGTACCCATAAATCCCTTTATAATTTACAAAGCAAAATCTACCTGATCTGCCATTCAATCCAATAACTACCCTATGAGTCAGGGTGGACTCACTAGCCCCATTTGACAGATTAGCAAATTGGGCTTGAGAAGCCTTGGGTGACTTCGCCAAACACACCCAGCTGTGAATGACAGAACTGGAGCTTGAATCCAGGAGTTTGGCTCCTAACCTAGTGTGGTTTTTCATAATAGGCAGCTAAATGAAAATAATTAAATGCAGGTGTTTGACTATGCAATGGAGGGAGAGTGACGTCTATATCTACTAGTGTCTCTATCACCTTTGGCTATACTGAGAGGTTCAGTGTGTGTGCTGGCTTCCAATCCCAACACCCCCATGCTTTGTTCAAAATCTGCCTATAGATGAAGCCCAAGGTCTTTCTGCTAAGCTAATGGGGAAAGTTAGAGGGAGAGTAGAGGCTGAGAAAAGTATTACCTAAGGTGGAATGTTAGCTATCCAACTGTACCTAGCAAACTAGAATTTGAAAGACGTGTGGATGTAGGTATATAATTTCATGGTCTTTATGGATTCTTGCTATCCTAGCTCTGAAGCTTCAAGTCTAGTGGGGACTTTTTTGTATCACAAATGTCTCTTGAGGACTGAGGGGCATGGTGGTGGAATGAGCAAATTTGAGTGGGAACTAAGTCATTTTCTGGCCAAAAAACAGGATTATAATAAACAAGCCATGAAATGGAAATCATTCAGATCTGAGGGAGTACTGTCTGTTCCTGTCTAAACAAGTGACTGCAATTTCCCATTTTTCTTCAGCTTTCACTTAAAGATAATATAGTCCTTTCCAGTCTTCTGACTGTCTTGTTATAGTGCCTGTAATTTCCCTTCAAATGCTTCAGTGTTGATTGTGTGATGTATATATGTGAATGCAAGTTAACTGTAATCTACATTAGTGAACACTGAAAGACCTTCATTCAGGAATGTATGCCATAGAGGAAGAAATAGAAAATACCACAGCTCTCTCAATTCTAAGCCCGTATCTGAGAGTTGGTTAATTAGCATAAAGAATGGTAAAACACTTTTTTGTTGGTGAAATAAGTGGTGTTCACTCTAAATGACTGGCTAGAAAGTTTGTAAAGACACCTCTGTCCTGGCAGGATAGGAGTATAAGAATCTGGTGAGCCCAACAGCCTGCTACCTTCAGAGTGGTGCTCCAGGCCTGGGAGTTCATTTATTCTCTGTACCTCATGCATGGTGAAGAATGTGGGCACTGACTCTGCTGTCAGAATGTTTGGTGCATATGCCTTAGTGTAAATTTCTCATGCACCGGAGATTGCCTTAAATGACTGAGAGTGGGACACTAAGATTACAGGATCAGCTTGTATTGTTTGGGGACCTGACTGCTGGTCAATGTCAGAATGGGGTAGAATAAGGTAGAATTGGGTCTGAGACTTGCTTTCCTTGTTATCACCAAGTAGTCAGGTTGTTGGGGAAGAAGATAAACAGTTCCACCCACCTCTAATTGTTGGGTGCAACTGACATTTATCACTAGATTCCATCAACTGCTAATGGCCAAAGTGGTTTTAGGTCCTTTTGCAACAGCCCTTAACAATTCCTCCCATTCTTAAACAAATTCTTCTATTTTTTAAGCTTTCTTCCTTTCTTCCTCACCTCTAGCTCTGTCAAATGACACCCGATCAAAGGAGAGGGCATACAAATGTTTATTGAGCTTAATCTATGCACTTTATATGCAATATTTAATTTCATCCCCATTTAAAATAAAATAGGTATGATTTAGTAAAAGTTGAATCTCAGAGAAGTTAAGAAACCACCCTAACATCACACAGCTAGTAGGTGATAAAGCTGAGATTCAAAAGCTTGGAATTCAGAACTCACATACCGTTTTTAGCAGACAACTCCACACACAATTTTGAAAAGGGCTAATAATTGTGGGCACTTCATGCTCTTCTACCAGATGGGATGTTTTGACAAACTGAAGAATAATCACAATGACCTATGATTATTTTTTCCTATCAAGTGCATTCTCTG